ACAAAAATGGAAATTAAACTAAACTGAAAATTGGCTAAAAGTTCAGTGACAAAAAAATTTTTTTTTTTTTTTTTGGTTGAGGTAGAATTAATGTAAAATCCTGCAAGCGTACGATATCGTTGACAAGTAATAGCTTACGAGTAAAAATATCGCTCCCTGAGGAATAAGTTTGAAATTGAATTGTACTAATTAATGCGATGTCAAATTTGAATGTAACCAAAACAAAAGGAAGTTTTGATTGTTGTTTATGTCAACAACTAATATGTATCCTAATACTTATCTACTTGCACGTGATGTATGAGAAGAGTGTTTGAGATTCCATCTCCACCTATTATTCCTTTATTCCAATTCTCAACCTATGTTCTCTAGTATAATTTGTGAACAATTGACAATCGATAATTCAATTTTATTCATCTCTCTCTAGTATAATTTGTGAACAATTGACAATCACTAAGAGTACTTCCAACTCCATCTGAGTTGTCAAATCTATTCAAATCACCATGAGCAACATGATCAATAAGATCACAACAAGCTCTACCAGAGCTACTAGAAGATTCCCCAATATTATTGTTCAAATCACCACAAACAAGCTGATCACAAATGACTCCACCTGAGTCACTGCTTATCAAACCATAAGCTCCAGCTGCATCCAAAGTGATCGTTGGACCTTCCAAAATATATAAAGAGCTACTAGAAGATTCCCCAATATTATTGTTCAAATCACCACAAACAAGCTGATCACAAATGACTCCACCTAAGTCACTGCTTATCAAACCATAAGCTCCAGCTGCATCCAAAGTGATCGTTGGACCTTCCAAAATATATAATCAATCCTTACATTACTTCTCCTCCAGCATCAAAACAAAAAAGTCTGCCATAACAAAAAATCTTGTTGCGATCCAAAAGCAGAACTCAATTTCCATACTTATCATCCCTGAAACAATCAACCTTGTTTAAACATCACTTTAGTAACCAATTTAGCCCTCCGAAGAACCATCAAAATCTTGGGACTGGCATCACTTGTTATAATTGGGCCAAATAATTCAGAGGAAAAAATATGGGCATTATGAAAATAATGGATCACGGAGAAAACAAGATTTATGTGGTTATAACAAATTTTGAGGGACTCATGATAGGTCAATTTTCCTTTTGACAACAATTCGCGAATATCTTTCATAATGAAAGGAGATTTAGAAAATGAGTAGAAAAAGGCATTTTCATTAGAAGAATATAAATTTAGATTGTAATAGTTGTATTATTACAAGTACGAAGTCGATAATAATCCAAGTAAATTATGATCTTGAACTAAATATATTTAGGTGTGGAACTGATTAATCCACATACCACCACCAAGTCATGTGACGAAAGCAAAATCTTCATAGATGTGGAACAAAACAGCATCTGTTATATGTTTAACTGTCGGTATAATTCCTTTCATTCTAGTGAATGACATGAATATCTTTTTGGCAACAATGCTATAAATACAGAAAAATCAACAGAATTTTTACAGAAACAACATTTGGTGGGTTTTCATTGGAAGATATTAATATAAAAATAAAATAAAATAAAATAAAAATTGGCCAACAGGATGATGACACGACAGCACCCTGTCAAATTTCTATCATAAAAGCCTATACATGAGGCTTTTTTCATCTTTTGAACTCCCTAGACTCATGTCTGTGCTTGATGCAATTGGGGTTGTGATAGCAAATGGAGATACACTATTTACCCTTCCACACAAGCCAAGTTGCTGGCTATCATTTTTGATGAAATATAGAAAGAAGAAGAATTTATGGAGAAGTGGGAGCAGCGCTAAAAGTCGTAATTTCTTGCAGTGTCCATTTCCGGTCAAATTCCATAGTTTAGAGCTCCGAAAATATACTTTTCTTTTTTTTGAATAATTTTATTTAGTTAATTAAATTAGAGTTAGTTGCTATATTTAATTCTCGTTATTATTTAGGGTTAGACGTTATCCACAAGTTTAATCTTTATCCAGGTTTTAGTTATTGCTTTATTATAATTAATTGATTTTGATTATAATAAAAATTATAAGAAATTTTTCTCTCACTATTGTCTCTTTCTTGAACATCCTAGAATTTTATGGGAGATTTTATTCTTTCTTGTAAGCTTCCATTACGTGGAGCTCAGACTAGACCCAATACAACATTCTTGGACATGGCATATATTTTGTGATTTGTTGCCCCTCTCTATTTATTGTCCGCCGCACTCGATGTGCACACGATGGTCCCCTTTCACTCACTGCTCCGCCATCTTACGTGTAACGTGCTTCATAGAGAAAAACATAGATTACAATTTTACATTTACACAAACTAACATAGAGTTAGCATGTGAATAATCCGAAGTTTAATTTTTTACGTAGCAATTTTGAAACTTCAATTTCGATTTTCAAATAAAACAGATTACATCTAGAATTTTTTGCTAAATAGCATTACAATTGGTTAATAGGATGTATCACTTACAAAGCTGTCTCTTGGAAATTGTTGGTTTACCTTTAGATTTGTACACTAACTATTTGTACTATGTAGCCCCTATTTGGTTGATTTATGTAATTAAAATTAATTATTGACTTTGATTTAAATTAAAATCTAGATTTTAGTTCACACCCAATAAGGGCGAAATCTTAATCATACATAGAATTTGATAATTTTTACAAAAATGTTATTTTTTTGTATTTTGGTATTTTTTTTAATTTTTTACATAAAAATGACTAGCTATGTAAAAACTTTCAAATTTAACTAGATTTCAAGTCCACCACCAAATTTTGCCTAGAAATCAAAATTGCCCCAAATTTAAACGTGCATATTTCTAAAATGTCATCTATTCTTAAAAATTCCCCTTAAACAAGGGAGCTGTGATTTTCTTCCGCTATTCTTCTAAATCTTTTTCACTTATATATATAAATAAACACATTATTTCCTTAAATATGTAAGAATAAAACAAATTAAAATCTATCACTCTAAATTAATCCACTAATATTTATCATCCTTAAATACTTTTGGACATTTTATATAATTTTAGACTTTATGTTTAACTAAAATTCTAATATTCATAAAACATCTTCTTCAACTAAATTCGAAACAAACATAGTTTATATGTAAAATAGAAACATACACAATGTTTATACACCGAACATAAAATCACATATGGAAATGAATATGTACTTTGACATCAATGGTCATAGTAGTAAATAATATGAATCGTGAAAGCTTTAGTAGCTTCCCACGTCCAATGAAATTCTCCCTATCTTCTTGCACTCCGTGAAGAAACAATGATCATGCTAAATCCCTTGAAGAAATGATGATAAAAGATAGCTAAGCCATGAAAACTCTTAACGTCATGCATAATCTTAGGTCTACTAACCAATAATGGCCTGAATCTTTACGGGATCATGAGTACATACTCTCATAGTAGATACAATGAATCCTAGTAAAATAACTCTATCAGCAAAGAAAGAACATTCCTTTACGTTAGCATACACGCTTGTTGCACGAAGTGTAGAACAAACCTATGTGAGATGATCTCGATGTTGCTTCCTAGTTTTATTGTACAAAAAAATGTCATAAAAATAGACAACAATGAATTTACCCATGAATGGTAAAAAAGGGGTAGTATCATCTCCCTCATAAAGGTACTTGGAGCATTTGGTTAGTTAAAAGGCATGATCAACCACTTATAAATTAAGTGTGTGTTTGGCCCCCATTCTTGCCAATTTTTTCCAACTTTTTTTCAAAAAACAGGGCCCTATGTCAGATAGCAAGGACAGGGACCCTTACAAAAACTGATGTCACTTGCGAAGATGTTGTCAGTTGAGTAAGAAAATTCTTTTCTTTCCGTTTCTACCCTTTTCAATTGATTGTTGAATATTGGTAGAATTAAAAATAGTGGAGGGTAAAGATGTACATTTCAAATGCATCATAGGGCAATTTAGTCCTTTAGGCTCCAAGGCATTATTCTTTCCCTGTCCATCGTTGACAAAAATCATGTGTAATGTAACGTGTTATTAGCTAGTTACTGTAGGAAAATGAGATGAGTGAAAATATATATATATATATATATATATATAAACGGGGGCTAACTCTTTTCTTCTCCGCTATCTTGCATGGTTGTAGGAGTTATTTCTTCATTTGAGGTCATTGATGTGCTTTTCATCACATGCTAATAATTAATAAACTGTTTTCTGTTACATAAGAACGAAATTTAGATACATATAATTTTTATTGCAACTATGATGATAGAAAACATGATGATAAAGAATCGCAAGTACAAAATAAGTTTAACATTTTGTGGAAAACCTTTAACTTGTTTATTTTGGAGAGGACGTGAGATAATTAAGAGAGTCGACGGAGTGATGACAAGCACTAGGAAGAACAAGGGGTGGCGACGACAAGTAGAGGATGCTTTTTATGGACAGTGCTTCCAACGGCTTCGAGCAGGTCCCAATCTTTTGCTCCAATTGGCAAGGCGAAGTTGAAGTTAAGCATCAATTTTGCTAACGCAAATTCATTGACAGCCATGGCAAAAGTAATACCAGGGCAACCTCTTCGACCAGCACCAAATGGAATGTACTCAAAATTGAACCCTCTAAAGTCCACTTCTGTATTATTAAAGAACCTTTCTGGATTGAATTCTTCAGGATTTTCCCACTCTTTTGGGTCTCTTGCAATTGCCCAAGCATTGACCATCACTTGTGTACCAGTTGGAATGTTGTAACCCATTACTTTAGTGTCCTGTGTCGATTCTCGTGGAACGAGTAATGGAATCGAAGGGTGTAGTCTTAAGCTCTCTTTCATAACTGCCTTCAAATAGGGCATTTTTTCTAAATCATCTTCAGTTATCTCTGACTTGCCTCCTGCTACTTGTCTCACCTCGTTTTGCAGTTTTTTCATGACTTTTGGGTGCCTTAAAACCTCCGTCACTGTCCACTCCAAAGAAGTATATGTTGTATCAGTCCCAGCAGCAAACATATCCTGTCATAAAAAAGAAACTGAAGGTGAATTTTGATATTTCCGAGATGGGAAATATTTATTTATATTTAATGTTCAACGAGTTAAGGCAGGCTTGTCGAGAGATACTTACAAAAATTACACTTTTCATGGTTTCATCATCAAGAGTGAAACTAGTTTTTTTTTCGCTTTGAATTTCGAGTAATAAATCCACAAGATCCGTTGCATTGCTGCTGTTTTCTTGCTTTCTTCTGCTTCTATGTTCTTCAACTATACTTGACAAAAATTTATCAAATGTTTTAGCCAGTCTATCAACTCTAGCATCCAAACCATTCACCATATTCATCCATTTAAGCCACGGAATGTAATCACCTACATTAAAAGTACCCGCTATCTCCATTATTTCCTTCAACATTAACTCAAATTTGTTGCTTCCATCCGCTTCACCATCACTATATTTCCTCCCCAGAGCCACTCTACATATAGTATCATTAGTAACTGACACCAATAAATTGCTCAAGTTTGTCACGGATGTGGGAGAAGTAGATGACTGCCTAATTTTCTGGATCATAAGATCCGTTTCTTCTTCCCTTATATAGCGAAAAGATTGAACTCTTTTGAAACTCAAAAGATGAAGCACACATATACTTCTCACCTGCCTCCAGTGTTCACCGTAAGGCGCAAAAGCTATATCCTTAGACCCATAAACAATTTTATCAGGAATGCTTACTTTTGGCCTGTTTGAGAAAACCAGGTCGTGAGTTTTCATGATCTCCCGAGCTCCTTCAGCTGACGAGACAATAACCGCTGGCACACTCCCGAGATGAAGCATCATGATTGGACCATAGCGTTTGGATAGTGCTTGAAGCGCACGATGGGGGAATAAGCCGAGTTGATGAAGATTTCCAATCACGGGAAGCTTTGGTGGAGATGGTATCCTTTTCCCGGCTGTTGAAGCAGGATTAAAGTACCATTTGAAGACCAAAATGGTGAACAAGAAGAAGGAAGCAAAAGGTAGTAAGAGTTGCAAGAAAGAACTCATTTTCTTTTCTCAAACGGAGAATGCTTGCATGATAATCTTCTTATGTTCTGCTATTTATAATGTGTCCCTTCTCCCTGAACGCCGTACCATCTTGAAAAATGTGGTTCATCAGCCCGCCAAATATGATCTGTTTCAGACTCCCAATTGCGTTTTGCATCCTCTGCTGAATTTCAGCATATACAATTGGAAAAGAGTAATTTTAACACTGTTGAATTTCGTAAATAATGTTAAAGAAAAATATTAATTTCAAATTGACCTATGAGATGACTCCTTTTAGCCTTTAATATATATAGAGCTTGTCTGGTACAGATTTTAAGTTAATTATAATCAATTTTTTTACCGTTATTTCACTATTTCAGCCATCGTTTTTGAATTCTTCTCTTGCAGGTAAGACTCATTTTATCTCTAATGGTCAAAAGATCAACTAACCAAATCCCTACCAAACAAGTATATAGTCAAGCTTAGAGTGAAGAATGATTTGCTAGAACTGTTTGATGTAACTTTTAGAATGAATAAATGTATGTGGAAAGGAGATTTCCATTTTGTACCCGACGTTGGGTTACCCAATGTAAGTGACGGGGTCGGGCTCCACACATTTATTGGTGTGGGCCGCGGTGGGCCTTGGACCCCCATGTGAGTAGCAGGTAATTACTCGGAGTGTCAAACTCCGAGTACCTATAGCAAAGCTCACGAGGAAAAGGCCTTATACGCTGTTTGATGTAACTTTTAGAATAAGTGAATGTGGAAAAAGCCCCTTGTACTGGGGCATGTCTACAGGGGGGTCGAGCTGGCCCCTTGCAATAGGTTGGGGGTTGATGCATAAATTCAAAACGTTTCATTATTTTTTAACAACACATTTTTCGTCAATCTATATTTCAAAATGCATTTTCTGCTAAAAATGAGGTTCAAACGCGCTCTAAATTTTGTGAAAAGTAAATTTTTAGAGAAGTGTGATTAAAAAGTATGAAAAAGATATGAATCCAGATATAAAATTGTTTTTATTGGGAAAATACAGAATTGAAAGCTAGTTTGAAAAAAAAATTAATAATAATAATAAGCTTTAAAGAAAGTATTTTGGAAAATGAAACACTTTGTCGTGAAAGTCGTAAACAAGATAGCGCGTAAACAAGATAGCGCCAATATTATAGTCCAAGATTATCAACCCACTTGTGAAGTAAAACAAACCAAGTAAAATAACAAAATTCAAGAATGGCTAGAATACTGAAAGGATGAAAGATTCACGCTCTAAAGTATAGCAACAGCACGATTTATATACAGATAATAGATATTGTTGACATTTTGAATACGTAATAAGAATACGATTTAATAGTATTATCTATTTTCAATAATAAAATATATATTTGTTAACCATTAACACGATTTTATATGTATTAAAAAATTTAATACTATTGTTTTTTTTTTTCAATGAAAAAACTCTAGCTGTCAATTAAATTAAAGCTCAAGTTTTGTATTTCTAATAAACATTATATACTTTCAATAAGTTATGATAATGATATAGTTATCTATTAAGATTTTTTTTTTTTTTTTTGTCAATCTATAACCAATAATAATGAGTTTTGAAAGAGTTTAAAACCAATAAAACTTTCCTTTGTGTATCCCAACATATATGACATGTATTGAAAATAATTTAAAAAAATTCTTATCCGACACGTAACAAAAATTTTAAATGTATAGCATAATTAAAAAAATGTATCTTATATGTATCAGAGAGTATCCGAACTTGAATATGTATCATATACGAATACTAATAAATTTTTAAGTATTTGTGCTTCTAGTCGATTTATATTAACCTAGAATACAGTACAATAATAAAGGAAAATGAATGTCAAGAGCAACTCAAAACGGAACAACATTTTGGGTCAAAAAAAAGGAAGGGGGGATGTGCATTCAAAGTTTTATCAATAAGAAAAATCTAAGGATTGCATTCCTAGGTGGGGTGGCAACCTCTCGAGGGCCTCATATATCTCTACGTTCATTGACCTTCGCTTTTGAATTATCGACTTCACTTTGGTGTTGACTTTCAAGGCATGACAAGCCATTGTTGGATCGATTCCAACCATATCGGAATGCTTCCACGCAAATAAAATCCGTATTATCCTTTAGGAACTGCATTTTTTCGTTTCAAATCTCGAGACAGACGAGCAACAATCCAAAACATTTGCAGGTGGACCATTAAAGTTTACGAGAAAGATTTTAGGCTATTCAAGTGTCGTGGCATTGGAGTTGGACCTGATGATCCAATTTGTCATCAATTTCTACATCTTTCCAAATGATTCACTTAAGCCAATCTCTATGGGTTTTTTTCTCGGCAAGCCCTACCATCAGGACCATATTAACTATCGAGGGTCGGGGATCCTCTTTTCTTAGAGCACATAGAAAATTTTGCGATACATCCCTTGGTTTCTTCAACTGTGGGAATTTCATGCGCAAGTGGTGGATTGAGGTTATTGTCCTTTCCCATCCCTGGGTGACCCGGAATGCCGTTTTATACAAACCTTGTTGGAAACTTAGAGATGGAACAATAACTTTTAGAAGAGGAGAAAATAATATTTCTAGTAAACACCCAATTTATTTCTTAACACCAAAATAACTTGTTGAAAACGAGTAGAATCACTAGCCTTCTATAGGTTTCATAAAACTTGAATCTAATCTAATACATGTACTTGTTATTAAATGCATTTTAATCCTCAATACAAATCATGTATTTTTCAAATGCATGAATAAACTAGTGCATGAATAATTACAAAAGACATGAATGAACTTGACTATTAAATGATGAACTTAAAATAAGTGAACTGTATATTTCCAACGGACCTTCTATCAATAATCATAAAATCCATATGGTTCATTTTCGATTTTCGACGGTGAGGGTAATCTTTTCACATTGAAGCCATACAAAAGGTCCGACATCGTGGTCAACGAGCGATCAATCTACATTCGATTAAAGATGCTCCATCGGTGAAAACGTTGCTAAAGAATACATTTCCCAAACTCCCATTAGCAACCAACATTCTTTTTATTTCATTACAAGCAATAGTTTCCTAGATTACCGACGCATCACAATGCAGTCAATGAATCTCCTCTTCATCGTCGTTTTTAAACTTAATAAAGGCGACTCTAGTTTTGGAGTACTCCTATCCCAATCTCTGTCCATTGCATGTTGATTCACCTCTTTAGCATATTTCGTTTAGGAGTCATCTGATGAACCTCCAACATGAGACCCGATAACGATTGACCTTCTCACCTTCCCAAAATGGCGTTGATTTCTCTTATTGGGAGCTGATCTAACGGTGGATGGTGGTTTGCTCTCGCCTGATTCTTTGGAGGAGGCTATCTTGGCGTTAGGCGAGTTGCCCTTCCCCTGACCCGTAGGCTTGCGTATTTCATGCTGATAATGTGAGGAACAATGGGATGCCACACAGCCATGTTGACTTCTCCCACTGTAATTATGCCTTTGCACCACTATTTTGTCAATTGTAATTTTCACATTTGGACAATCGTCTTTATCATGATCCCTGGTACGATGCCATATGTAGTACTTTAAATTTTGTGAAGGAATGTAAGACTGACGTACCCGGCTAGCGTAATAGCAACTTCATTCAAATCTGCTTTATAATCTTGGTACTTCGGACAAGAATTTCTTGGAATCAGCCTTGCCCTTGTTATGTATGGGTGTGATCCTCCCCAATTCACTTTCCTTTGATTTATAATAGTTTCTTGATCTTAAATTTTTGCATTAATCAATTTGAAAAACTGGTTATTGGTCGTCGGTCTCTTATTAACGAACATCTCTCCAAAAGAAAATATATCGGATGGAAGGAAAACAGAGAACGCTAAAGAAGAATGGAATCATATTTTATATCTTTAGAGTAAGAATACCAAATTATAGATTACCTTCAAATGTCACCGAGTGTGGATATTTATGAGTAAAGGAATGAGCTTGACGTTCCATAGACACTTGACACGTGGCCGCATTCCAATGACTCACATATCATGTGATTTTTAATTAATAAATATAATGTTTCTAAGACTAATCATATTTTTGTAGTGGAATACGCATGGGATTCCCCGAACAATTAATGTGCCTATTAAAATAAATATAATATGCATATAAACTGCCTAAACTACAAAGTAGAGAATAAAGTTATTTTATTTTATGTTATTGAAAATATTTATTTCCCATCGAGTAAATTTTGTTTAACTTAATTGAACTAACAATTAAACATCAATTTAGTTATTAATTAGCCTATTGTGTCCAGTGACTGCCCTGATTTATCTACGCATTCCAACAAAGGATGGTCTATGATGGAAATTTGAAAACTTCCCTTTGATAAAAAAATCCTTCACATCATACTCCCTGACAAGTGCGTTTTGTGCATTTGTCCGAGTCATATTACTAAATTTTTATGTCGTCAAATTATAAATTTTTAATTAATTTGGGTTAATTTTCTCTTACTTTTGGTTATGGACTCGTGTCAAGCAATTGAAAAATGATGAAGGACAAATTGAATGTTGGATGAAAATTGGGAAACAATATTCCACACTTCGAAAATTGAAAGGCTTGAATTGAACTAAAGAAGAACATGAGGACTAAAATACATTAATGAAATGAAGTAAAGCCTTGGAAAATTAATTACATTTAATTGGGCCTAGACCAATTGTAATGGGATTGGAATCCAAGTGGGCTTGGATTAGTGGCTGAATTGTGAAAGTGATTGGGGGGATATTGATACGGTTAAATTAGGTCCATTACTTTCCAAAACTTATAAAATTGAAAATTACGATACATTATAGAGGAAATTACACACATCCATATATTTTAAGATCCAATTTCAAAAATCAGATTCAAAGTTTGGTTATTCAAAAATCAGATTATAATTAAAAATTTAATATTAATGATCATATTAAAAAATCAAATTATCCAAAACCCTAATCATTTCACTACTTTCTCCCCTCTCTCTAAACCGTAACATTCTCCCCTCTCTCTCTTCCATCCATTTACACAACCCTCGCTGAGACCACCTC